CCTGCATAGGGTCCAGTCCACTGGAGACACCACACCATCTGAGAATTTTTTCAAAGTTGTGGAAAATGTGAACTGTCCGATAAGGAGATAGTAAGTGAGGAAGCTGGTGGTGGTGGTGAGTGTCGTCGAGTCGGTTCTGAGGAGCTGCTGGTGGGCTTGAACTGCCAACCTTGTGGTTCAAACCGACCTTGTTGTCCAGTGTTTACCCTACAACACCACACCAGGACTCCACATGAGGAATGTTGTTGTTGTTAAGAGCCGTCAAGTCAATCCCGACCCATTGCAACCCTGTATAAGGTTTCTAAGGAGCAACTGGTGGGTTTGAACTGCAGACCTTGTGGTTCACAGTCCAGTGCATTAACCCACAGTGCCATACCAGGACTCCAAGTGAGGAACGGATGTCTGTGTTTTTGTATATTGCTGGACACATGTCACTGAACAGGAATCAAATTCAAGTAACAACCATTAGAAGGACTTCTGGCTTTCATATTCCTGTGGGATTTATGTGTGTGCATGTATTTGGGGATGGGGGTGGGGGGCACTTCAAAAAGTCCACAGGAAAATTCCATTATCTTTTAATTACATTTTTCAAACTCTTTTTTTTTTTTTTTTTTTAATGTTTTATTGTGAATGATGTGGTAGTTTACATGGGAGAACATTAGTTTTACATTCATCCTATCGTATATCGTTTCATTGCCATGGTTACAGTCCCCTCCATGCATCATCAACCAACCAAAGCCTGGCCCGCGGTCATCAGTACACAGCCCCTCTTCCTCTCTGGGTCTAAAGTCCCCAGCTACTCCATCTCTCCACATTTTCCAGACTGTTTGTAGCCCCTTTGATGTGTATGTGTACACATGTGTCCATGTGTGCACAAGCAAGCACATGTATATGCGTGTTTGGGTGCCTGTGTGTGTGTGTGGTCCTTACCAAGGAACAAGTAGTAATGATGTAACAGTGATACCGAGACACAAACCCAAAGCCACTGCCATCGAGTCGATTTTGTCTCAGACCCTGTGACACAGTGGAACTACTCCATAGGGTTTCCGAGACTCAGTCTTCACGAAAGTGGAAAGCCTCATCTTGGTCCCCTGGAGTGGCTGGTGGGTTCGAACTGCTGACCTTTCACTTAGCAGCTGGATGTTTAACTCACAGTGCCACCAGGTCTGAATAGTAGTGAAGAAATGACCATGGATTGCAGACCTGTCTGAGCCAGGCGGTTCCCCTAAATGCCTCTGTGTGCTCCCAACTCAGCTATAGGTCTGTAGACAATGGTAGCATTCAGACATGTGCACAAATGGGCTGGCAGTGTTGACTCAGGTTTGGGGTCTGAGGGGGCTTTAACATCACGTTGCTGCATCCTCGGACCCAAGGGCGAGGTTGGGGAGCAGGGGTCAGGAACTTAAGGAAGAAATGATCCCATCAATGTTACTTATTAACCACTGGGCTAGAATCTTGGAAAAGAATTTGGGATGCTTATTGGAGTGTTGGGCTGTGTTTTAGGGACATTACAGAAGACTACCCCTAAAACTGGCCCTCTGTTAGTAGCCACTCATTCCTGAGCCTCAGATATGCAAAACATTCTTTGCCATCAATTATTAGCACTGGTGCAGGATAGACTCAGAGAAATGGTCTTGTAAGTAACGATCTGAAGTTTGTGAGGATGAGGCTGCGATAAAATACTCTTTCTCAGATACCAGGGAAAACACCAAGTTAAAAGATAATGGAACTTTTTAGAGCCCCCCTCATATTCAGTTTGATCCGAGTTCAGTGATGGGAGATTGAATTTTGAGTACAAGACCAAAGAAATGTCCATCAAGGAGTGGCCTTGCAGATCATCTTCCTGTCCACTGATAACCTAAATGCAACAGACTGTGTTTTGTTTGCATCATGCTGGGCTTTTTGCTTTGTGTTTTTAAAAAAAGGACTGAAAATTCGGCAAGCCATGTTTAAAAATCACTGACTTATGTGGAGTCCTAGTGTGATGCTGTAAATAAGATAAACACTGGACTACTAACTGAAAGGTCAGAGGTTCAAACCCACCAGCCACTCCTCAGAAACCCTGTACAGGGTCACTCTGAGTGGGGATTGACTCAATGGCACTTAACAACAAGGAATTTTGTATCTCAATCAGTGATTCTTGAAGTAGAAGATTCCATGTAGAATTAGGGGCCCATTTCTCTCGGCAGCAGTTATCTGTGTTGGTTGGTGTTGCCCCATTGGACAGGGTACAGTTTATCGTCCCCCACCCCACCACCAGTGGCCTGTCCAGCCCCCGTGGAGATTTGAACCTGTAGCCATCATGTGGCTCACTGTCTATTTCTTAAGCCAAGAAAGCCGGGGTCGGTGGATGAGTCGGTAATCCTGAAAGCCTACAAGTGTGGATGAATTTCTCTACTCCTACAAGGCTGGACTAGGGCTGTCCAGCTTCTCTTTTTGAGAGCCTGGTATTTATCTTGCTGAAGGCCACCAGAGTTCCTTTCTTCAGATGGCAGGTATCTATCACATGCCCCTCACGATTAGTCTGTATCCTGCCTTTGGCAAGAGTACAAGGTGTTGTACCGTGAGCTGGCAGATTTCCCAAGCACACACACTCAGATACAAAGGGAAAATTATGAAAACTTGTCACAAGGTAGTGTATGGCTGGCCAGCAAATGATGAAAAAGCCCTTTCATTGATGGTCCCTGGCATGAGTTCTTCCATTTAAGATGCGGAAGTGGCCCTCTCTGTCCTTTTGATTTCCTCCTGGACCCAAACCAGACTTTTAAGAGGTGCACCCCACCCCCCTCCAGAGTTTGATCTCATTAATGCTAATGTATTCATGCATGCATTGTGTCACCTAATGAGGCTTCATATATTGCTGCTGCTCTGACCTCTGAAAATGATGATGTGGGGGATCTCTGAGACCCCAGCTCAGGCTGTTTAGGACCCAGGGACTCAGGATTTTATGATAATGGCTTGATTCCTTTGAGCTGAAGCTCCTCCCTCCCGCATAATAGCCAGCTGTCTTTAAGCATCTTCTTTTTGGAAAAGAATGCAGTTAGGTCAGCTCACAGCTGATAACACTGAGAGGCGTTAGTAAGGACCCCAACTCTAAAATCATCTCCTCTCCCTGTAGGAAGGACCCCAGGGGATGATCTGGCTTCTGTTAAAAAGTAACTGGAACATAACACCCACATGTGTTAAAGTCAGTCTGAGAGAGGGGTAGGTGAGAATGAAAGACCCCCTCAGGGCTCATATCCTGTTTGAATGACCCCCAAGGAGACTGCTGAGATTTGGATTAGGATGCTGGCCCCAAGGGGGTGGGGGCAGCAAGGGATCATTGGTACTAAGTTCCTAAACTCCATGGAGTGGTTTGTGATGGGAGAAAACAGACGTGCGGAATGTTTACATTGTCATTCAGCCTTCATCAGGACATTTGTGACTTTGAGTAACTTGAGATTTCTTGTTTAACTCTTCCTCTTGCACAATCTTTGGACAGTGGGGAGGGAGGTTGAACCAGTGAACTCCAGAAAATGCCTCCCCCTCTTGTTCCAGAACTCCGGATTCTTTCTTTCTTGCAATTTAGAGCAAGTTGTGGAGGGGAGTTCTTGAGTCTACCCCTTCATTGGCTGAATTTTCCAGACCTTTCCTCCTACAAGCCTCTGAGTAGACTAGAAGCACCAACCTTCTAGTTGGTACCTTAACCATTTATTTACTCCGTCTGGGGACTCTCAAACCTGGCAGAGCCTCCCATTCTAGAAAAAGAACTCATTAATATACATTTCATTCATGTATTCAGCAGGAACCATATTATGGCTATTGTTAGCTTTGAAGTTGATTTTGAATCAACTGTAAATCTTTATGGGAGCAGAAAGCCTCATCTTTCTCCCATGGAGCAGCTGGTGGATTCGAACTGCTGGCCTTGTGGTTAGTAGTTCAATGCATAGTCCACTACACCATCAGGGCTTCTGGAATCAAACTAGATAATCTGATTAGAGCAGCCTGTTGTTACTGAGTACTGTTGAGTTGGTTCTGACCCACCGTGGACCCTGTATAGGGTTTCCAAGGGGTGAATTTGAACCGCTGATCTGCAGTTAGCAGTCCAGTGCTTATCCTACAGGGTCACACCAGATCTATAAAAACACTTTCATAGAACCACAAATGAAATGAACAGTCATCTATGTCAGGCCCTGGGAAGGGGCAGGACGGGAGCCCCAGTTTGATGCCCGAATAAATGGTGTCCAAGAAGGCACTCGAGATTCTGATGGCAGAGTCCTCTGAGCCTCAGCCTTCTCTCTACAAACCGGATCTCTCAACCTCAGTAGTGTTGACAGCTGGTCCAGGCCATTCTTGGTTGTCGGGGCTGTCCAGAGAGTGCATCATAGGATGTCTTGCAGCATCCTTAGCCCTCACACCACAGGCCTGACAACCCCAGATGACTGCAGTCTTCCCTGCGGAGAACTGCTGTACACTCCCACCTGGGGGAGTGGAGTGGAGGTGAAGCAGCTCGAGAGTGTTGTGGGTTTACTTGATACACGTCCTTCCAGAATTGATTTGTGGTTGTCTTGTTGGATGCTGTCAAGTCTATTCTGACTCATTACTGACCCTATATTACAGAGTAGAAGTGCCCTGTAGGATGTCCTAGGCTGAAATCTTTACAGAAACAAATCAACGGATTTTTGTCCCGTGGAGCTCTTGGGTGGATTTGAACCGCTAATCTTTCAGTTAGCAGCCTAGTGCTTAACTGCCCTTAGTCCTGCATTGTTCCACTCTGCTTTGGGCTGGGAAAAGAGGATAGGCTGGACCTCATTGGGGCAGCTTTGGGTATGGGAGCCCTCACAGGCCTGGAGGCATGGACTGTCACAGTGATGGCTTGGACAGGGCAGCCCCAGTGACAGATGTGACTGCTCGCTCTTCACCTGTCCCCGCTCCGCCTGCTGCCTTCATGTTCATTTGTGTGACCTGTGAACCAGGACCCTTTGCTGAATGTCTGACCTTCAACCCTGTGTTGTGTTTAGGTGGCCCTGGTACAGTGGACGGAAAGCGTGGGCTTAACGCTGGTGGGCCGAGACCAGTCTTCCATGCAGCTGAGGACCCCTGGCGACCAGATCCTGAACTTCACCATCTTGCAGATCTTCCCATTTACCTACGAAAGCAAACGCATGGGCATCATTGTGAGGGTGAGTGGCCACTTGCTTAAGACTTTATAGGACAAACCACCAAAGTATGACTTGGCGTTCTCTCTTCCCCTCTGTGACCTTCTTGACTCTTGACATTTGTCACCCACACTAACAGGGGAACCAAATTCCCAAAGCAGAAAGAATGTGGGTTCATCCATCAACTGGACAAACCTCGGGTGAGCGCTGGCTAACTCAGTTCAGAGTGAAGGGATCAATATTCATTGATGATTGATGAGGCATTTCTTGGTCCTGCAGTCCTAAGTTTATACTCTTTGGTTTAATGAAATAGTTTGAACTCTTCTTTAATGATGCAATCAGAAAGTTCTCAAGAACAATGATTGTCAGTCTTTCCACAAGCTTTCTGAAGCTCCCTCATATTTATTTTGGATTTTGAAAGATATTTTACTGGATTTATATATACAGAGCTAAGTGTCAACGTCTAAGTATACATGTCAGGTTTTACTCAGGTGTAATAAGCACCCAGAACAAGGAGCCGGAGACAACTAACCATCCCAGATCTCCTCAGCCCTGAACTCCCCCATCCCTACAACGATCAAACCGCTGTGCTGATGTCTACCATTGATTAGTTTTGTCTGCATTTGAAGTTGATTGAAATAGAATAATACAGTAGACATTCTTGGATGTTTGGGTTCATTGGCTCAGATTTATGTGTTTGAGAGTCCTCGGTCGTTTTGCATATGTTTAGTTCAAAATGATTTTGTTCTTTTTTTTTGTTTTTAAATGAAACAGGGTGAGTTCAGCCGAAGGCCCTTTGCCCTTCCTAGATACCATTCCTCTCAAAGACTTATCAGATGTGTTTGGTTTTACATGCGCTTATCCTCTATATTAGAGACCTGGTGTGGTGTTGTAGGCTAAGCACTGGACTTCCAACCATGCTAACGGCAACAGGGGCAGTTCAAACCTACCAACCGCTCTTAGAAACTCGTATCAGTTGCTATGAGTCGGAACCTAATCTGCGGCCCACAGCAACAAACCTCTATATAAAAACATCATAATGTGTACACCTTTATTCCACTTCTTGTTCTGCTTATCATTAAAGAGACACTGCATCCCATACATTGAATCCTATGCATAACCGCCATTGTTTAGGTCTGTTTCAGATCCCTGTATGTCTTAGGTCTCTAGAGGTGCTGTAACAGAGCATACCGCAAGTAGGTGGTTTTAACAAACAGAATTTTACTTTCTCACAATTTAGGAAGCTATTGTTGTATTTGTCTTAGGCTGGATTCTCTAGAGAAGTAAAACCAGTAAAGCTCAGATATGTATAGATATGGACTCCTGGTGTGGCGCTGTGGGATCAGCACTGGACTGCAAACCACAAGATCAGCAGTTCAAACCCACCAGCTGCTCCTCGGAAACCCTGTGCAGGGTGGGTATGAATTGGAACCAACAGCACTTAACAACAAGGAAATGGCTTACATGGTTGTAGAGGCTGGTAAGCCTCAGTTTGTGGTCAGATGTCAGCCTGGAAGCTTCTGATTCATGGAGTTGTTGATGATTCCAAGGTCGGCAGATCAGACAGCAGGCTGCTGACTCACAGGCTGAAAGGGCTAAGCAGTCCCTAGACAGACAGGCAGTGTGGCAGGCGGCCGGCTCATGCCCCAACACCTTTCTCACAGGTGATATTTTTCACTTTGTAGGCCTCTTATTTGACTGAAAGGCTGGTTTCAATTCTAGGTTTTAAGGGTGTCTCAGGGCCTCAGCCCTGGAGGTCCCACGAGTCTCTATCAGACCAGTAAGTCTGGTCATGTGAGTTTGAATTCTGTTCTGCGTTTTTGTCCTACTCTGTCCAGGACCTTCTGTTGTGATCTCAATCAGAACCATCTAGCCCATCTGATCTCAAGCCGATGGAGACTGTGTTTCACATGATCCGTTGCCCTTTGAACTTACTGTTTCTTGAGTCTTTGATTTTCTTCACTGCTCTTTGCTCCAGATGGGGAGAGACCAATAGTTGTACCAAAGATTGCTGCTCATAAGCTTCTCTGATCCTAAGCTTCTCTGATCCAAAGCATTGTCTTCATAGACTATGTCATGCCAATTGACCTAGATATCCCCTGAGACTATGCTCCTAAGCTCAGTGACTGATTCCTTCAAGGTATTTGGTTCTGGCTAACAAATTTTCATACCTTTGTTCCCTGTTGTTGATGGTGTTGTTAAGTGCCATCGAGTTGATTCTGAACCATAACAATCCTGTATAGGGTTTCCAAAGAGTAGCTGGTGAACTTGAACCACTGACCTTGCAGTTCAAATGACTTTGTAGTGTGACGCATTAGCCCACAGCACCACACCAGAACTCCTTGTCCCCTGTATGCTCTCCTCTATATCAGAGGGCTTCAAAAAGTTTGTGGAAGAGTGGAATGAAAAGATAATGGCATTTTTCCATGAACCTTTTGAAACCCCCGTGTACATGGATATATTTGTAGCACATACAAATATGTATGTAGAGATATCCTTTGCCAAACCTATATATACATTCTACACCTGTTCAGCTATTTACTTGTGTGTCCAGTAGTGAATTCTTGTTTATTACTGTTTTGCAGGATTGTGCATGTAGTAGTATCTACCACCGTTGCCTTTTACTCTTGTGCACCTTCCTGTGTCTTCTTTGCCTTTGTCTTGTGATGCTGACCTTTCACCCAAGTTAACACATGCCTACTCTCTAGTTAGTGATTTCTCCTCCTATTCCTGGTTAACTATCAGAGACTGTTTCTTGGTGTGTGTAAACCTTTTCTTGACTTCTTATGTTGTGGTTACGTGCCATTAACTCAATTCCGACTCACAGCAACCCTGTACAGGGTTTCCAAGGAATAGCTGCTGAGTTTGAACCCACAAACTTGTGGCTAGCAGTCCTGTGCTGGTCCTGTATACCACAGTAGCGATTTTGTCAGTATTTGCCCTTTGGTGATTAACTTATTTCACTCAACATGTAATGTCCTCCAAGTTCATGCATGTTAGGAGATGTTTCATGGCTTCATCCTTGTTCTTTAGCATTCCGTTGTGTGTAAGGACCATCGTTTGTTTATCCACTCTGTCATGGATGAGCACTTAGGTTGCTTCTTCCATCTTTCTGCTATTGTGAGGACTAGCAGAAATACTACGAGGAGCATGGGTGTGCAGGTATCTACTCAGGGCTCTTAGTTCTCCAGGATCTGTGCCTACTAGTGGGATGGCCGGATCATTTCGCATCTCTCTTTCTCACTGTTTAAAGCAATGCCTTACCATTTTCCACAGTGGTTGTACCAGTTTACAATCTCACTAGAGTATGTGACAGTTCTAGTTTCTCTACCCCCTCACCAGCATTTGTTTTCTGTATTTTTTTTAAATCATTACTGTTATTGCTGTAAGGAGCTCTGGTAGCATAGTGGTTACATGTCGGACAGCTAACCTCAAGGTCGGCAGTTCGAAACTACCAGTTGTTCCGTGGGAGAAAGATGAGGCTTTCTGTCCTATAAAGATTTACAGCCTCAGAAACCCTGTACACGGTCGCTATAAGTCAGAACTGACTCCACGGCACAGAACCATGACAGTAGCAGTTGGTAATGAGTATAAGCATCTCTTCGTGTATTTACTGGTCACCTGAATGTTTTCTTTGTTGAAGTGTCTGTCCATGTCTTTTGTCCATTTTTAAATGGGATTGCGTATCATTTCATTGATGAAGTGTTGAAGTTTTTAAAATAACTTGTAGAGATTTGTCCCTTGTCCCGTTTGTCGTTGTCAAAAAAATTTCCCTATCTGTGGGTTCTCTTTTTACTCTTTTGGTAAAGCGTTTTGATGAGCTTAAATGTTTAATTTTTCATTGCTATTGTTAAGTGCCATAGAGTCAGTTCCAACTCATAGCGACTGTGTATAGGGTTTCCTGTATAGGGTTTCTGAAGAGTGACTGGTGGATTTGAACAATTGACTGTATGGTTAGCAGTCCAGTGTTGGTCCTGCAGCGCCACACCAGGATTCATTTAACTTTTGATTGTGAAATGGGTGAAAGTTTACAGACAAGATCATCAGCTTTACCGTCAGTAAACCACACACCTTGTTTCATCTCAATGATTACAACCCCCTCCCTGCAACAAGTTATCCCACTTCTTCCCTGTGGGTGCCCCTCCATTTACATCTTGTATTTCACAAATGAACAAGGCAAAAATCTTTGATGTACACTTACAAAACAAAACAAAAATGTCTTCATTTAAATGTCCAAAGGGCGCATTCTGCTAGCCAGCCTCCTGCCTGCAGGCACACAGCTACCATCTCTGTTTTCGCTGCTTTTCTAGGTAGGGATCTTAGCCTCCACTCATGCTCTTCCTTCTTGATGATGCTGGGATTGTCTGCTCCTGAAATGAAAGATTAACTACTCTACCACGTGTAGTTACACATCTACAGTGACAATTACAACAATTGTAATTAAACCTGCTAACAATTACTCACAATCGAGTCATCAGATCCTATTACCGCAGGACTTCACTTTTAGGAATCCCACTTTCAGGAGGTCCTGTTTACCTAGTTCATCTTCTCTGTGTGCATGTTTAGTTTTGTTTGGAATTCTGTTTATGCCAAATATTAGGATCTCCAGTGTTGTCCCTGTTTTTTCTTCCATGACCTTCAAGTTTTTGGTTTTATATTGATGTCTTTGATCTTTGATGAGTCAGTTTTTGTATATGGTGTGAGGTACGGTTCCTGTTCCATCTTGGTGCAGACAGATAACAAGTTTTACCAGCATTATTTGTTAAAGAGACGGTCTCTTCCCCATTTACTGGCCTCTGGCCCTTTGTCAAAGATCAGCTATTATAGCTCGAAGGATTTGTTTCTATGATCTCAGTCCTGTTCTATTGGTCCATCTGTCTGTTGTAGTACCAATACCAGGCTGGTTTGACTCTCAGGAATGTATAGAAGGCCCTGAGGTCCTGGCAGTTTGAGCTCCCTGATTTTGTTCTTCTGCAGTACTACTTTACGTATCCAGGGGAAAAGGACACATTTTTAAAGGGATT